GAGATGAAGGTGTGCGTGTCGGTGCCGATCTCATCGATGAGCGCGTCGACGGCGACGTCGGAGCGTTTGGGGCGGGCGAGGTGGGAGAGGTATGCGGGGGGAAGGAATTCGGCGGCGGCAGATGGGTTGGTGGTGGGGTCAGGAAAGTCGCTGCGCTTGTTGTAGACGACTTTGCCGACGGCGTGGAAGATGCCGAGGGTGGCTTCGCGCTGGGAGACGAGCTCGAGGCTTTGCTGCTCGGATTTGGTAAGGGCAGGGATGTCTTTGGCGCCGCGCTTGGGTTTGGTGAAGGCGACTTTGGAGCCCCAGTCTGTGTCGTCGTCGCCTTTGACGCAGAGGAATTCGAGCGAGGAGATGGCGTTGCGGATGTCGCCTATCTCGCCAAGTCGCTGCAAGACAAGAGGGCCCGGGGTTCGCCTGCGGCCTGATCTGCGGGCTTCTTTTTGTACTACCAGCTCCAAGGCCTTGGTCAAAAACGTTGCCGCAACCGGATTGAACTCGATGACCCCTGTCCCTGGGTGGCGTAGAATCTCCGGCCCAAGCAACCGGTGTGCTGTGAAGCTGTCCGCTGACGCCGACGTCGTCGTGAGCAGCGTCTCCGAAATAACCATCACAATCGGGGTGATCGGCTCGTCCTGAAACCGCGCCCCAAACCCTGAAAGGGCGGGTGTGTTTGCCGCTAGAAACTGCAATATCGCATTCCGAAACCCCGTCAGCCCTGTCGATGAGCGCATGAATGTATTCGGAAATTCCTCCACCAAGATCAACCTCTTTTCCAACCCACTCCCACCTGACCCTTTCGTCGTCGCCGTCTTTGGCGGCGGCGGTCCCTCCTCCCCTCCTCCCCATCCAAATCTAACTGCCCAAACTTCCCACCCCTCCCCAAAAACTCCTCGAACTGCGCCGCAGCAGATTGATACCCGTGCCCCGCGACTCCAAACGAGTTCGCCGGGTTCCGCCACTCGAGCACCTCGCACCACATATCCTGTGCCAATAGCCGCAGTGTCGTCGTCTTGCCCGACCCGGCGGGTCCCTTGAGCACCAGCAGCCGCTGGCGCATGCGCCCGGCAAATACATCGTCGAGCCAGCGCCGCACGTCTTGAACCTTGCGCTTGTGGACCGCGAGTTCGTCGAGGGAAAGGGGGCGAAGCGTTCGGACCAGGGGCGGGCGTCGGTTTCGGAGGGGTGGTGGTGGTGGTAGTTGTCGGTTTGGATTTGGGGCTGGTGGTGGCTGCTGTTGCTGGAATTGGGCGTGGGGGACGCAGGAATCGTGGGCCGCCGCCGGTGCCGCCGGGGCCGACTGGTTGTGAAAAACTCCCGCGCTGTGTCTGCCCGTTGCCTGCGCCTGCGAACCGTTTATGTGCGGCTTGTGAGCGCCCAACCAGGCTCGATGTCGCGGCGGAGGAGGAGAGGAAGAGGGGTACGTCATTATCGTCGTCACCATTCTTGTCTGAGATGGGGTCGCTGATAATGTCGTCGAGTTGTTTGTCATGTTTGGTTCCGTTGCTGTTGAAGGAGGGGCCACTGGTCGAGGTGAACGAGTGCGAGGACTGGCTGCGCTGGGCCTGCTTCGAGAAGAGTGTCAACAGGTTAGCCGACTTGCCCTTCTCCTTTTCTTCTTCGGCGTTTCGTTTCCGCTGTGTGCCTGATCGTGTTCGAGACTTGAATGGGCTTGTGCTGGGGCTTCGTGTCGAGGCGGGTTTCGTCAAGGTGGTTGCGCGGGTGCTCCGTTTGGGTGCCGGGCTGGGCGAGGGCGAATTAACGGCAGTTTTGGCCAATCCATTGTTGATCACCGGCTGATCGTTTATTTTCGAGGGGGATTTGTTCTTGTCGGGCGAAAAGAGAAAGCGCTTCAGGGTGTTTTTGTTCTGCGATTCGTCGTCGTCGGAATCCTCAACGATGGCGCGCTTGCGTCGCTTTGCGGGCGGCGCCATTGCGGATGTCTTTGGGTCAGGCGAGGTTGGTGCATTTGTCACATCAAAGAAGGCAGGTCTGAGGATTAGGTCTGAGGATTAGGTCTGTCCCGATTCCGAGATCAGGAGGCCGTCGCGTGGATCTGATTTCGTCTGATTTGCTTTTAATGTTGACTCGTCTTCACTAAAGCCCCATTAGATAGCGGCCACTCACCCTTAACAAAATGCGCATCCGTCGCCCACTCCGAATTCAGCGCCCTCCCTCCACATGCTCCCACCCCTTCCCCTTCAGATCCCCTGGAACATAGTCCGGATCAATCTTCGGCCTCAGCTCCGCAATATACACGGCCAGTGCTAGCAGCCACCACTGTCTGACCAGGCTCACATGGAACTTGACCGGCAGCAGCGGCAGCAGAATGCGCACCGCGTGGCTGGTAGTCAGCACATGTACGACAAAGAAGTTGTACGCATGCGTCCCGGGGCGCACTGTCGCCACCAGCATCGCGACGGCGGCTTCCTGAGACTCGCGGAAGAGCTCGACCGGGTTGGTGGATGAGGTGGAGATGTCCCATGCGTTCCAGTACTCGAGGATGAGGGCTTCGTGCTTCTGGAAGAGGGGCTCGATGTTGCCAAAGCCGGGGGACTTGAAGAGACCGTCGAAGCGGGAGTCGGAGGCGAGTCTGTTGAGAAGATCAAGGGGCGAGGAGGAGGAGAAGGGGGCTTTGCGGGTGTAGGAGCGGTCGTCGATGTATTTGTGCAGGAAGTTGTATTGGGTGGCAGCTAGACCGAGAGCTTCCATGGCGATCTCGCGGCTGTCGAACTCGTAGGCGTAGCCGAGGTGGATGAGGGGGTGGCCGACTGTGGGTGTCAGTGAAACCATCTTATAAACGAAATATGCAGGTTTGCCTACGGCCGCCGATGAGACCGTTGATGAGCGGCTCGTCTCCCTTCAGCATATACTCCTCAATCACTCTCTTCCAGTTGTACGCATGCTTCATAGCCAGCGCATCCTCGAAGAAGTCTACGTACGCCCGCTGATACCGCTTGTCCCCGAGGAAGTACAGCCAATCATCCTCGGCAATCTCTGATGGCGACTCCTTCCATGGCTCGAGGTCCCTTGCTTCCACGTCGTAGATGTGGTAGAGTTGCTTTGGACTCGGCGCCGAGATGGTATGCTGAGCAGAGAATGTGTGACATGTGGTTGTCGAACTGGAGGTTGTGGTAGATGATGGAATGGTTGACATGGTTTGCCTTCAGCAGGTGTTTGAGTGTTCGTGGTCTCTTTTCTGGGTTGGCCTCGACATTGTGCACCTCGACGGGCTCGAGGTCGATGGACCTTGGTGTCTCGCCCGCGCCCAGCAACCACGAGACAAATGAAGCCATTGTGATGATGCTTTTTTTTCCCTCTCACTTCAAAGTTTGATGATTCCAGTAAACCATGGATTCGGTGATTGAAGGACTTGTTCAGTTGATGACCGTTCGAGTTCCATGTGATCTCACAATCTCATTTGTTGAGAGCTTCAAAAAAGTTGAGTGATGTCAGGGCGAATCAGCTGAGAACTGGCATCCCGGTCTCGCCAAGCTTATGCCAAGACAAACCCCCCACTGCCGGGCCAGGGTCCTGCGTCATGCTGCCCCGCCCCCGCCATCCGTCCGAGTTTCGACCACGCGAGGCAGCTCAGACTCAGAGCTCAACGTCGTCTCAATCCAGGCTCAGGCAGCTCCAACAGGTACACCTAAAACCACCAACTCCCGCTTTACCAGCAAAAATGGCTCCCCCAGCAATTATCGCCCCGTCCATCCTCTCCGCAGACTTCGCCGACCTCGGCGCCGAATGCTCCCGCACCATTAAGCAGGGCGCCGACTGGCTTCACGTCGACATCATGTACGTCTCTACCTTAGACCTCAATTGGCCCCCCTACTCACCTCCCATCTTCCCAGGGACGGCCACTTCGTCCCCAACCTCACCTTCGGCCCGCCTGTCGTCGTCAAAATCCGCTCGCATGTCGACCGCCCCACCGAAGCCCACGGCAAGGGCACATTCGACTGCCACATGATGATTGCCGAGCCCAAGAAGTGGGTGAAGGAGTTCAAGGCCGCGGGCTGCGACCTGTATTGCTTCCACTACGAGGCTGCCATCAACTCGAGTGCCGCCGAAAGCCCCGAGGCGACGTCGGAAGAGAAGACGAGTCCGAGGGGAGCTGATCAGGTATATCCATGACCAGGGCATGCTGGCGGGAATCGCGATTAAGCCTGGGACTGGGGTGGGGGTGTTGTATGAGATTTTGGAGAGTGAGGATGAGAAGGAGAGGCCGGATGTAGGTTTGCCCCTTACCCTTGGAGGTTGAGTGGTGCTGATGGTAGGGGCAGATGGTGCTGGTTATGACGGTTGAGCCTGGGTTTGGCGGCCAGAAATTCATGGCGTCCGAGCTGCCCAAGGTGCAGGAGCTGCGGAAGCGGTATCCGGATCTGAACATTGAGGTTGATGGTGGGCTGGGACCCGGCACGATTGACCAGGCCGCGGATGCTGGCGCCAACGTCATTGTGGCAGGGAGCGCTGTTTTTGGCGCCCAGGATCCCGCCGCTGTGATTGCGCTGCTGAGAGAGGCTGTGAACAAGAGGAGCGGGAAGGCATAAGGGGGGGGAGACTGGGAGGTATATTGGGCGTCAAGGGGGCGTTGTGATGGGATGCATAAAACAGCGAGGATCTGCTTGTTGATAGAGATATCTGGTGTTAGGAGCAAGTGGATAGAAGTCGACCTACTCGGGAACCGTTTTGGTTGTCTTTAAATCATGAGACTGGGCTTGATGATAATGATGGTTCATATTCACATGATCCTTAGACCCAGCTCAATGCCCACCACATCATACCACTACTTACATTCTAAGTAACTAAGCAAGCAAAAATGGGAAGGAAGGGATAAATCTCTCCAAATAAAAAAGTGAATTAATCTTGACATTCGAACCGGGCAGTTGACTGGGATTCTCGTCTGAGGGGATCCTTGTGCCACCTTGACAGTGAAAAGGGGGTCTCTAAAGACTCCACCAGCAAGAAAAATTTGACAACTCCACCACGAGAGGAAAAATAGGTCGTACCCGGAATCGAACCGGGGTTACCAGAATGTTCTGAAGGAATCAGAATCTGGGGTGATGACCGCTACACTATACAACCATTTGTTGATTGATGAAGTAGCGCATCGGGAGGTGGTCTTATGTGGGTGGGATACCACACCCAACACAGCTTGAACGAAAATAACAACCCCTGATGGCACTAAATGTGTAGAGAAACTGCGCAGCAATATGGGTTAAGAATATTGGGAAGACATGATAGTGGTGCATTTTTTCTGGGAGATGGTAGCTGCTCTCTGTGTGAAGGGCGCCATCTCGAACCTCTGTCGAACCCCTGACACGAGAAGGGCTATTGAGTTACGCCCTCTGCGCTCACTTCCTCTCATCCAACACCTTTTCCAAGACCTTGATAAGCCCCTTAACCTCATCCACTGTCCGCATGTCAGCTTCAGACCTCCAAAATCACCTCGCCACCGGGAAACAAACTCACCAGTGTTATAAAGCACCATACTAACCCTCACCACCCCCTCCTCTGGCAACCCCAACATCTCATTCACCAACCTCACCGAATAAAACGACCCCCACCTAATCCCAAAACTACTCTCCACATCCACTCTCTCCACCAACTCCCTCGAATTCCACCCCTCCACAGTAAAACTCACCGTCGGCACCCTCACCTTTCCATCCTTATTCCTCTCCCCAAACCGTAACCCCTCCTCCTCCAACCACCCCAGCAACTCCCCTGCAACTCCTCCTCCTGCGCCATCACCCCCGCCCACTTCCCTCAAGATACTCCACCACCGCCGGAATCCCATGCACCAACTCATATGCGGACCCCGCCAGCCCCAGCTTCTCCTCGAGCGTCGCATGTTGGTTGAAGAAGTGTCCCAGCGAGCGCATCGCCGCGTTCGCGCGCGAGCTGGCGTACAGCAGGGAGATGTGCGGCCCGTAGACTTTGTACCACGAAAAGGCATACAGGTCGACGCCGAGGGCGCGCACGTCAATGGGTCGATGGGGCGCGTAGGCGACGGCGTCGACGCAGAAGAGGGTTGAGGGGGAGTGCGCGCGGATGGTGGCGGAGATGGCAGGGATGTCGTGGATCGTGCCGAGAATGTTGCTTACGTGCGTGCAGGTGACGAGGCGGGTGCGCGGGGTGAGGAGGGGGTGAGGGTGGAGGGGTGGAGGATGGGGTTGGTGGTGGTGGTGGTGGTGGTGGACGGCTTCCACCATTTGAGAACGAGGTTTTGGCGGGCGGCAAGGTCGACCCATGGGGCGATGTTGGCTTCGTGGTCGAGGGCGGAGACAATGATCTCGTCGCCTTCTTGGAAGTTGAGGGCGTGGGACGCGTTACGGAGGAGTTGAGTGGTGGATGAGCCGAGGACTGGGGGGGTGTCAGAGATTAGACTGGGAAAATGAGGGTGGCACATACCAATCTCGTCTATTGAGGCGTTGATGTACTTGGCTGCCGCAGCATAGCCGTCGGCATAGCGGTTGGTAGACGTCTTGCTGGTGGCATAGGTGGCCCCGAGCTGGACGTTAGTGTTCAGGAGGTAGTCCCGGATACTGAGATTGTCAGTAACCAGCCAGTCTCACAAACGGCTTCACAAAAGAATATGATACCAGTCCGCCACTGCTCCCAACGTCTGGCTTCCTCCAGCGTTGTCGAAAAACACCTGCTCTCCGGAGAGGGCGGGGAAGCTTCCCTTCACTTCGTTCATGTCCAGTGAGGTGGCCATCGTGAGATAATCAAGTAAATTGGAGGAGTTTCAAAAGCGTAATCCAGCTGTGAAGGATCACAGTATTGGAAGACGGAGGGAGAGAATAGTAGATGTCATTTATAGTTCTCATCAAGGCAAGCCGGGGGGTGCTCCGCGCCGGAGCGGGAGGAGACCCACGGCTTCCTTCGGGAGGAGTGGATCCGGACCAGTCCCTTTTACGGAAGGTCGATCGGCGGGCGGCAACCGGACAGGGCACTCTCACCAGCAACCTAATGCGGTCATCTCGGGGAAAGCTAGAGCCTGTGCTTAACGGATTGTTGTGAAAGACTCAACTCTTTGAGGCCCGCATATGAGACGCAGGTGGCGGCTCGACGCATGTTCTCCTTCCTGAAATCTTCAAACCGGCGTCTGTGGACAGCAGGGGACGCAGGACCGCCGATGACCCCACGCAAGCAGCTACAAGTCAAAATCCTGCGAGCATAGAATGGCTCTGAAAGAGAGATGGGGGGATACAGCTTGACTAAAACGGTTTAGTATCACAACACGCAGGAGATGCGTCTACTGACGTGGCTGCAGTCCGCAGACGATGCCGGCGGTTGCTGAAGAGCGAATTGGAGGAGTCTGCGACCAACCAGGGCTGCCGTCATTTTTGCCAGGTTCCCATCAGGTTGGTGCGAGGTACCTAGGTGCCCTCCCTGGCACGTTCCATGTTGATTTTCCCCAGACAGCGCCGCGTCGAGCCCGTCAGCAACCTAGATCCATTGACTAAGCCGTCGCCGGTACAACGGCCGCGCCATGGACGGAGTACCTCCGGGCTCGTACCTCCGCCAAGCGGCTCCGTGGCAGGCCATGCCCGATCTGAGCGCCCCGTTTCGTCACTCAAGCCGGCCCTTGGTCTTCTTGGCTCCCAGGTTGCGCTGCCTGTCGTTCGATTTGGAGCTCCCCAACCAAGACAGGGGGCACATAGGGGTTCTGCTTGGGATGGTGGGGTGAAAAGTTTGGGACCCACATCTCGTTCTGCCACATGTCACCGCCGAATTTCGCATCCAGATCAGCCCATCTCTAGGAAGCTCCTTCCTCTCCTTCAAGCGCTCCCTCAACAATTTCGGATTTCACAGTGTTTACGACTCAATTCGCTCGTCGAGATGAAGAGAAAGGCAGCCAACGCCGCCGACGGCAAAGAAGCAGCTCAAGAAGCGCACAAAGAACGGTAATTGTTCCCTCCCGGCCCTCGGCACCGGGCAAGCACCTTGCTGACCCCAAGCAGCTCTCAGCGCCGAGGATGCCAAAGCGCGGTTCCGCAAGGGCCTTTTTGACAAGAAGGTCCTCAACGAGTACACCTCGCAATATGCCAACTCGACCCCGTACAAGCACAGCGTGATCACCGGCCTTGTTGACGATGCCCTCCTGCGCAAGGTTCGCTCCGAGATAAAGGCCAACGTCCACTTCACCCCCAAGGAGACCGACATCTATAAGATCCACCAGAGCGGCGACCTCGCGAATCTCGACGGTCTCGACGATGAAGCCCTTGCCAAGCTTCCCTCTCTTCTCTCCCTGCGCGACGCCATCTACTCCCAGACCTTCCGCGACTACGTCTCCCACATCACCAATTGCGGTCCCCTGAGCGGCCGCAAGACCGACATGGCCATCAACGTCTACACACCCGGCTGTTTCTTGCTGTGCCATGACGACGTCATCGGGTCGCGCAAGGTCAGCTACATCTTGTACCTGGTCGACCCCGACACCCCGTGGCAGCCCGAGTGGGGTGGCGCCTTGCGCCTTTTCCCGGTCGTCGATCGCAAGGGCAAGGACGGTGAGGTGGCCAAGACGCCTCTGCCGGATGTTACCAAGATCATCCCTCCGGCGTGGAACCAGCTGTCGTTCTTCGCCGTGCAGCCGGGAGAGTCGTTCCACGACGTTGAGGAGGTCTACCATGCTGCTTCCAAGGAGGAGCTCGAGAAGAACGGTGGCCGCATTCGCATGGCCATTAGCGGATGGTTCCATATTCCCCAGGTCGGAGAGGATGGATATGTCAAGGGCGCCGAGGAGAAGGCTGCTCAGAAGAGCGGTCTGATGCAGCTCCAGGGCAACCCCGACCAGCACGACCAGCCGCAGGCGAAGCCGGTCGAGAGCGTCGATAACGAGGACAACGACGACTTCCCCTTGGACGAGGCCGACCTGGAGTTTCTGCTCAAGTACCTCGCCCCGACCTACCTCACACCAGACACGATTGACCGCGTTGCCGACCACTTCGAGGAGGAGTTTAGCATCACTCTCCCCGACATTCTCCACCCCAGGTTTGCCGAGAAGCTTCGCAAGTACGTCGAGGCGCAGGAAGCCAAGCCGTTGCCAGAAGACAGCGACGAGATTGAGAAGGGCAGTTGGAAGGTTGCTCGCCCGCCACACAAGGCCCGCTACCTCTACCGGCAGCCTGGCCAGAAGAATGTCGAGGACTCACCTCTCAAGGAGCTGCTCGACGTCGTGCTGCCGTCCAGGCAGTTCCGCCTGTGGTTGCAGATGGCCACCCGCTCCAAGGTCGAAAGCGTTGACCTGCTGGCGCGGCGCTTCCGCCGCGGTCTGGACTACACCCTCGCGACCGGGCACGAGGGGAAGCCGAGGCTCGAAGTCAACATTGGCTTCACCCCAACCCAAGGATGGGGCGATGTTCAGGATGATGACGAGTCCGACGAGGAGGAAGAGGAAAAGAACAGCAAGAAGAACGGTAAAGGCAAAGGCAAGGCCGAGGACAAGTCCAAGGGCAAGGGGAAGGGTAAGGCTGTCGAGCCGGAAAAAGAGGAGGAGCTTGAGGTCGGCGGCCACGAGGTGTACATGGCCGGCGACGACGACAGCAACGAGGACGCGGCCATCTACAAGAGCAGTGCCGAGGACGACAACATCCTCTTTTTCCAGGCGGCTGCCTGGAACAAGATGAGCATTGTGCTGCGCGACAGCGGCACTCTGCGCTTCGTGAAGTATGTGAGCGCGAGTGCCAAGGGCGATCGTTGGGATGTTAGTGGTACGTTTGAGATTGAGGAGCAGGATGAGGAGCCGGATGAGGATGATGAGGAGGGCGGGCCCTCTGGGGCGGGGTAGAGGACGACTCCGAGGAGGAATTCGAGGGGTTCTCGGCGAGCGAGGAGAGTGATTCTGAGTGAACCCCGGTTGGGTGTTGATGTGATGCGGGTGTCATGTTCATGATGATGATAGAGGCTGGTGTATTGCTTAACTTTGCTCTTAAGGACTTCAGGGATGCTGTATTATCTATGTGGACGTTGATTTTGGATATCGAAATCCAACATCAGTCATGCTCACTTTTTGAGCTTCTTCGGTTACGTTCCATGCTTCAACTCGATTGTACGTTTGCAGCTTGTTAGCATCAGCTCGT